GAGTGGGGATTGTATTATAAGAAAGAGCGGGAGCTCTTTCTTTCTCTCAGTTCCCCATGTCCTTGGCGTGTAGCCTGTGACACTCAGCTTCTGCCCTGTTTTCTATTACTTGGCTTGGAACTCCTGCCTTCGGCTGACTGGCCCTGACTCACCGTGCTTGCCACATGCACCTGGGCTGGCAGGAGTTCCAGGAGAGTTTGTGCATTGAAGTAATATGAGTCCCTGAAGCCAGAGCCCCCCTGGTCTCCTTTGGGCCTGTTACTGGTTGATCTTTTCTTAGGAAGTCAGGCTTAGGTAGGATTTGGGTATTTTTCCTTTTCAAATGAATATTGTAGCTTGTATTATTTGTTGCTACATAACAAATTGCCCAAAATGTAGTGGCTTAAAACAGCAGACATTTATTCTCCCAGTTTCTGTGGGTCTGGAATCTGGGAGCAGCTTAGCTGGTTCTGGTCCAGGGTCTCTCACTGGGTCGTGGTCACACGGATGCCGGCTGGGCTGGAGGGCTTGCTTCCAAGGTGGTTCCAACACACGGCCATTGGCAGGAGGCCTTGGTCCCATCCCAGGTAGACTCACCATGACGCTGCTTGAGCATCCTCACATCTCAGATTGAGTGATGAGAGGGAGGGAGGAAGAGAGAACACGCAAGGCGGGAGGTGCAGGGCCTCTTTGTTTCATAGCAGCTGAAGCACACGCAGTCACTGCCACTCTCTTCATCAGAAACAGCCAAGTCCTACACTCAGCAGTGAGAAGTGAGCTCCACCTCGTGAAAGGAGAAGTCAAAGAATCTGTGGACGTGCTTTAAAGCCACTGCCATACGAGACTAACACTTGTAATGAAAAATTGGGGAAGTATTAAGAAAGTATACTTCAGGAAAAAGTTGTCCATGGAACTGCCACCTGCAGACCCACTCTGACTCCTTGATTGTGTGCTGTTCCTGCCTTTTTTTTCTGGCCCTGGTGGTTTTCATGGACTTGTGGTTAAACTGCATATGTAATTTTCCTCCTTTTTTCACTTAGTATCATGACATAAGCATTTTACATGCTTTTAAACTTTATAAAAATCCATTTTTTAGTTTTCTGTTTTAAGAGACCAGGTCTCCCTCTGTCGTCCAGACTGGGATGCAGTGGTGTAATCAGGGATCGCTGTAACGACCTCCTGGGCTCAAGGGATCCTCCTGCCCCAGCCTCCAGAATAGCTGGGATTACATATACCACCGCACGCATGCAGCTAATTTATTTATTTATTTATTTATTATTTTATTTTATTTTATTTGGTTTGGTGGTGTTTGTTTGAGACAGAGTCTCGCTCTGTTGTCCAGGCTGGAGTGTAGTGGCGCAATCTTGGCTCACTGCAACCTCTGCCTCCTGGGTTCAAGTGATTCTCCTACTTCAGCCTCCCAAGTAGCTGGGACCACAGGCACATGCCAACACACCCAGCTAATTTTTGTATTTTTAGTAGAGACGGGATTTCTCTTTGTTGATCAGGCTGGTCTCGAATTCCGGACCTCAAGTGATCTGCCTGCCTTGACCTCCCAAAGTGCTGGGACTACAGGCATGAGCCACTGCGCCCCGCCTGTTTGTTTTTAAGAGACAAGGTCTCTTTATGTTATCCAGGCTGGTCTTGCACTCCTGACCTCAAGCAGTCCTCCCACCTCAGCCTCTCAAAGTGCTGGGGTTACAGGCATGAGCCACTATGCCTGGGCTAGTTTTTCTTAATTAAACTTTTTGTTTTGAGATAATCATAGCTGCACATGGAGTTGTAAGAAATAATACAAAGAGATTCCATGTACACTTTACCCAGTTTCCCCCAGTGGTAACATTTTGCAAAACTATAATAAAATATCACCACCAGAATCCTAACATGGTCAAAATACAGAGCAGTTCCATCACCAGGATCCCTCCTGTCACACTTTTAAAGCCATCCTTATGCCTCCACCCCCACAGACCCCATCCCTAACCACTGACAACTACTAATCTTCTTGGCTTCTACTATTTTATTTCAAGAACACATATAAATGGAAGCATATGATGTGTAACTTTGGGGGACTGGTTTAATTCTTTGGAGATTAGCCCAGGTTGTTTGATGCGTCAGGAGTTCATTCTTTGCCATTGTTGAGTAGTATTCGAAGGTATAGGTCGACCACGATTTGTTTAACCATTTCCACACTGAAGGACATCTAGGCCGACTCCAGATTTTGGCTGTTCCAGATAAAGCTGCTATGAACATTTGTGTTCAAGCTTTTATGTGAACAGTCTTCATTGTTCTAGGATAAGTCCGCAGGAGTGCCACAGTGGGGTCATATGGATATTTCATTATGAAAACCATATTTAATAGCAGCTTAATTCTTCATCAAGAGACTCGCTCATTATTATTATTTTTTTTTTTTTAAACGGAGTCTTGCTCTGTTGCCCAGGCTGGAATGCAATGACATGATCTTGGCTTACTACAACCTCCGCCACCCAGGTTCAAGCGATTCTCCTGCCTCAGCCTCCTGAGTAGCTGAGATTATAGGCGACCGCCACCATGCCCGGCTAATTTGTGTATTTTTAGTATAGATGGGGTTTCACCATGTTGGCTAGGCTGGTCTCGAACTCCTGACCTCAGGTGATCTGCCCGCCTCAGCCTCCCAAAGTGCTGGGATTGCAGGTGTGAGCCACCACGCCCGGCTGAGAGTAGATATATAGTATTTCTAATTAATGGGCAATTATAAGTGATTCTGTACTTTGCCTTTAAATTATTTTTGTGTTTCTGATAATTTCTTTTTTTTTTTTTTTTTTTGAGATGGAGTCTCGCTTTGTCGCCCAGGCTGGAGTGCAGTGGCGCAATCTTGGCCCACCACAAGCTCCACCTCCGGGGTTCACGCCATTCTCCTGCCTCAGTCTCTCGAGTAGCTGGGACTACAGGTGCCCGCCACCACGCCCGGCTAATTTTTTGTATTTTTAGTAGAGACGGGGTTTCACTGTGTTAGCCAGGATGGTCTCGATCTCCTGACCTCGTGATCCGCCCGCCCGCCTCGGCTTCCCAAAGTGCAGGGATTACAGGCATGAGCCACCGTACCCGGCCTCTGATGATTTCTTTAGGGTGGGTTCCCATGAGTAGAGTTGCTCCATGGTGGGATGGGAGACTTCAAGGGACAATCTACCGAACTAGATGTTTCTAATTCTGATAACAGGCTGCCATGTGCACATTATTGAGTTGATGTGCTCACCGTGCCCTGGGAGGTGATGGGGGCTGTGCGGGCCCAGGTGGGAGCTGTCAGGGAGCCAGCGAGGCCTCAGCTGGTTTGGTTGGCACTTCCCTGACAATCCCTCCATTGTGCCCATCAGTGTTGGATGCCCAAAGCCTGGCACGGAGTTTCTTTAACCGGCTCTGGGAAGTTGCCGGCCAGTGGCAGAAGCAGGTCCCATTGGCTGCCCGGGCCTCACAGCGGCAGTGGCTGGTCTCCATCCACGCCATCCGGAACACTCGCCGCAAGATGGAGGACCGGCATGTGTCCCTCCCTTCCTTCAACCAGCTCTTCGGCTTGTCTGTGAGTGCTCCTGTCCAGACCCTGGGGAGAGCTTCGGAGGACTGGGACAAGGGTGGGGGCTCCCCAGGTACCGAGAAGAGCTGTCCACCAAGGCCGAGACAGGAGAGACACCTGTCAGTCCCTGAGCTTGCCCAGCAAGAGACTAAGAAGGACAACAGTGTGAGTCTGTTATGAGGGAGGCTTGGGTGCCATGTTCCCCTGACTCCAGCACCAGGAGTCACCTGGGGCAGCCCTTCATTTTATGCTTGTAGCAACTCAGAACAGATGGTGAAACCGAGGCTCCCGCGAGCTGTCCTTTTCCAAACCTCCCAGCTCATACACACATAAGCTGGGCAAAGGCCATACTGATTCTCCCAGACTCTACCCCATCAGTGCCTGGTGCCACACCCCCCTGGGAGCAGCCTGGGTCCTGCGGGTCTGTGACTCCCACCGCATTCCCACCAGGACCCTGTGGACCGTGCCTACTTTGCTGTGTTTGATGGTCACGGAGGCGTGGATGCTGCGAGGTACGCTGCTGTCCACGTGCACACCAACGCTGCCCGCCAGCCAGAGCTGCCCACAGACCCTGCAGGAGCCCTCAGAGAAGCCTTCCGGCGTACTGACCAGATGTTTCTCAGGAAAGCCAAGCGAGAGGTGAGGACTGGCAGCTGGGCCTCGGGTGCAGTTTGGAGGCCAGTGAGAGTCCTGGCCTCTGCAGCAGGAAAAACGCCAAAGGGGCTAGTGGTACCAGAAGGTCCTCACTAAACACTGCCGGTGGTCCTGCCGTTTCTTCTTACAGTATGAGGCTAAAGGGGCTTGGTTCTCACTTGAACGGAAGCAGCACAAAGCCTGCCCCAATTCAGCATGCTGGGCCTCCAGGCCACATAGACCTGCCTGGTGTAGAGGGTCTGCTGGCCTCAGGGAAGACAGCCTGTGGTCAAGTGTTCCTGGGATTTTGTTTTAATGAGATATGGCAAGGTGACAGACACAGACTGGTACCTTAGCAAAGAGTTTACTACTCACAGTTCCCGAGAGGAGGGGCCACGCCTCATAGGGCCGTGCATGGGAAGCACTGAGGTAGTCGGGACGCAGAGGGAAGAGAGGGAAGCTGGGTCGGAGCCTTCTCTGCATCCTCCCCAGGTGTTGGCTGTCTCGAGGAATCAGCTGGCCCAGGAAGGGGCAGCCCCTCCAGGACCAGCAAGGCCCCAAGATGTCAAAGCATCGTAAAAGGGGGAATATGTAAAACGTGTTTAATCTACTGCCTGCCTCCCCTTTCTCCTCTAGGCAGGGTCTCAGCAGACTACCGATGTCCTCTGGGAACACTCCTTCCTCGGGAGTTACAGCCACGTGTAGGGATGAGGCATTTGTTTCTGAAAGAAGAAAGAACAGGCCGGGCGCGGTGGCTCAAGCCTGTAATCCCAGCACTTTGGGAGGCCGAGACGGGCGGATCACGAGGTCAGGAGGTCGAGACCATCCTGGCTAACACAGTGAAACCCCGTCTCTACTAAAAAAAAATACAAAAAACTAGCCGGGCGAGGTGGCGGGCGCCTGTCGTCCCAGCTACTCGGGAGGCTGAGGCAGGAGAATGGCGCAAACCCGGGAGGCGGAGCTTGCAGTGAGCTGAGATCCGGCCACTGCACTCCAGCCCGGGCGACAGCGCGAGACTCCGTCTCAAAAAAAAAAAAACAAACAAAAAAAAAAACACAAATGCATCAGGCCCCTCCTCTGTGAACTTACACACTCTGAACCTCACCAGCAGAATTTCACTAGGTCCTCCTTGTAGCCCTGTGAGGTGAATACTAACATTGTACCCATTGTAGACATCGGGAAACTGAGGCTCAGATTGCCCTAATGAGAAGACACCAGGGGAAAGGTGCACTTTTGTCACACGCGCTGAGCACAGACCTTCGTGGAAATTAGCAGAGCCGGGCTTTGCATCTCAATAGAAACCCGTGCAGTCTCTGCAGCTGCAAGGACCCCACTGAAAAGCAGTCAGGCCTCCACTCCTGGCCCCTCACCTCACTCCACCCCCCAGGAAGTGACAAAGGCCTCTAGCTCAAGGCTGCCTCTCAGAGTAGAAAAGGGGTTCTCTGAAGCAGGTATAACCGCTTTATTGAGGCTGAGCACAGTGGCTCATGCCTGTAATCCCAGCACTTTGGGAGGCAGAGGCTGGTGGATCACTTCAGGTTAGGAGTTTGAGACCAGCCTGACCAATGTGGTGAAACCTCATCTCTACTAAAAATACAAAAATCGGGTGTTGGCTCACACCTGTAATACCAGAACTTTGGGAAACTGAGGTCGGTGGATCACTTGAGATCAGGAGTTTGAGACCAGCCTGGCAAAAATGGTGAAACTCTGCCGCTACTAAAAATAATTTTAAAAATTAGCCAGGTGTGGTGGCACGTGCCAGTAGTCCCAGCTACTCGGGAGGCTGAGGCATGAGAATCACTTGAGCCCAGGAGATGGAGGTTGCAGTGAGCCAAGACTGTGCCACTGCACTCCAGCCTAGGCGACAGAGCGAGACTTTGTCTCTAAATCAATAAATAGCCGGGCACAGTGACTCACGCCTGTAATCCTAGCACTTTGGGAGGCCAAGGCAGGCAGATTGCCTGAACTCAGGAGTTCAAGACCAGCCCGGCAAATATGCAAAACCCCATCTCTACTAAAAACACAAAAAATTAGCCAGGCGTCGGTGTGTATGCCTGTAATCTCAGCTAGTCGGGAGGCTGAGGCAGGAGATTCACTTGAACCTGGGAGGCGAAAGTTGCAGTGAGCCGAGATTGCGCCATTGCACTCCAGCCTGGTTGACAGAGTGAGACTCTGTCTCAAAAAAATAAATAAACATCTTTATTGAGATACAATTTAAGTGGTGCATATTTAAAGTCCACAATTTGGCAAGTTTTGGCTTATACGCATGTACACCTGTGGATTCCTCACTGCAGTAACGGGCGTATTTATCACCCCCGGAAGCTTCATCCTGCCCCGTGTCATCCTCTGCCCTTCCCTGTGCACTCCCCAGACAGCCCCTCATCTCCTTTCTGACACTGCAGACAGTTTGCATTTTCCAGAGGTGGATGTGAATGGGGAGCTGCAGGATGCGCTCTCCTGTCCCTCAGTGTGAGGTTCAGTACGAGCCATTGCGTGGCTCAGCGGTTCTGCCCATTTCTGGCTAAGGTTCAGCCTATACCGCATGTGCCTGCAGTGCAGACCCGTCCCCACCTCCTGTGAACTCTCATGGGCCCTTTCTTCCTGCAGCGGCTGCAGAGCGGCACCACAGGTGTGTGTGCGCTCATTGCAGGAGTGACCCTGCACGTCGCCTGGCTCGGGGACTCCCAGGTCATTTTGGTACAGCAGGGACAGGTGGTGAAGCTGATGGAGCCACACAGACCAGAACGGCAGGTAAGGGGATCCCTCTGCCCAGGCCCAGGATATTCCCAGCCACCATCATGCTGGACCCACAGGGGAACCCCAGCCTGGGAACCTCAGGAAGTACTAATCCTGGCACCTTTCAAGAGGGAGGGCTCCCCACCTGACTTGAGTCCCAAGGGGTCCCACGTGAGCCCTTCCTGAGAGCTCTGTGGGTCACAGCTATATGGAGCCCAGAGCTCCAGGGGAGAGCAGAGCCCTCTGCACTGACAGGCATCCCAGTGCAGTCAGCGCAGCCCAGTGCAGACCAGAACCTGTCCAACACACGGACAAGGAGGCCACAGGCTGTGGATGAGGGGGCCTCGGGGAAGTGACGCTGCCCTGGGACTGGAGGGAACCTGGCTTGGGGCTGTACTGAGTAGAGGCTACCCTGGCACTCAGGTCATTACCTGGACCTGAAGATGACAGTCCCACTCAGACTTCTTCTCACAAGACTGTCTCGTCCATGTGTCTCCTGAGGTCAGATTGCGAGCATTTAGATACCATGGAATGACTGTTTATCCCTCAAACCCCACTTTTCCCACATGCTGCTCTCCACTAGTTATGTTGAATTAACCATGCACATGGTGGATAATTCTACATCAGCACGTAGGAGCACTCATCCTTTCTTGGGGCTGTGGACATTGCATGCATCATGCAGTCCCTTCTGGGTGAGCATGAAGATCTTTTCAGTCTTTCGGTGTTGAAAACAATGCATCTGTACCTACTTTGTGCAGCATTAATTGCTCAAGAGTCAAGTGTATCTGGATCTGTAGGACACATCCCCAGAAGTGGGATGGCTGGGTTGGAACTGATGCATGTACAGTCTGGGTAGATTTGTCAAGCTGCCCACCTCAGGCCATGCCAGCCTGGGCTGGCACTACATGCCCAAGAAGGTCCATTTCCCCACAGTCCCACCAGCTTGCAGGATTCTTCCTGTCAGGTAAGAAGGCTGTCTTGGGGCAATTGTTGAGTTTGCTTTTCTGTTACAGAGTGAGTTTGAGCATCTTTTCAAAAGCTGAAGATCATTTACACAGCCTTTCCTGCAAACACTGTTTTTTCCTTTGCCTGTTTTTCTTACCAGTTTATAGGTTCCTTGTATATGTTAAGGAGGTTGGTTCGTTATCTGTGATTTGCAAATATTTTTCCATGCATCTTTTCTCTTTTATTTTTGTGTATGGGCTTTTGCTACATGGAAGTTTTGTTTTTCTGTAGTTGAGTTGAGTAGTCTTTGTTTTTGTGGCTTCTGGGTTTGGAAAGCACGGCAGAGATCACCAGGACTCGATGATTGTAACAGTCGGGGCAGCCGCGTTCCTTGGCCTTTCACCGCGGCTTATGGTCTGGGCTGGGCCCCTGTACGTCCTCTCCCCGTTGTACAGAGGAGAAAACTGAGGCTCAGTCACTTGCCCAGAGCACACTGCCAAAGTCACAGATAGTCTCTGCCACTCCCCTGCCTCCGCCGTCAGGGAATTTGGCACCTGCTGCCTAGTGGGCTCTCCTTCCCAGGACGTGCAGTCAGATAAAATGTGGCCAAGTCAGGATTCATGCTGGGCCCACTCCCACCTGCTGCTTGCACACCTGCAGGCTCAGCATTCAGCACCCCCTTAAAGCCCAGTGGGGACTTTGTTCAAACACTGCCTGAGCCCTGCAGTATGGCACCATGGCAGAGCATGGACAGACGGCCTTGCCTGGTCCCAGCTCCACCACTTCCAAGTCCATCACACGGGGGTCCCTGGAGGTTTGGGCTAAGGATTGTGTGGGCCAGTGCATGTGGAGTGCAGAGATCAGAGCCTGCACAAGAGAAGCACACGCAAGGGTCTGTGTTCTTGGCTGCAGCCTACTTGGGCCAAGGAGTTCAGATCCAGTGCCCTGCCACCATGCTCTGTAGGCTTGGCCCCTCCTGCTGTGATGCTGATCACAGCCCTCCACAGCATCCAGGCCTAGAGAATTAATCACAGATCCAGGCCAAGGTTCTGCCACAAAAACAAGCATCATGTTGGTTACAAGGGCAAGAAACTGGCCTCAACCTGGTGAGCTTCAACGGGGGTCCAGCAGCAGCCCAGAGCAGCTTCGAGGAGTACATGGGGAGTTCATGGTGCTCTGCCTTGTTCTGCAGCTGTCTGAACAGTCTCCTGCCTCTGCACTCAGTTCAGCCTCCAAGCACTGAGTACCCACTCTGCACAGGATACTTTGTAGAGGCAGTGAGATAACACAGGACCCACTTCCTGCCTCTGAGTCTAATGGGGGAGCAGGAGGAGGGCAACGACCTGGGTAGGATGTAGCAGAGATGAATGGAATGGAGTCGCATCTCAGGCAGATGCAACTCCTGCAGGCCAGGGGAGAGGCCAGGAGGAAAGGGCAGGTTATGCTAGAATCGGGGCCAGGTGTGGTGGTGCGCCTCAAGTGATCCTCCCACCTCTCAAGCCTTAGGAGACAGGAGGATGGCTTGAGCCCTAGAGGTCGAGGCTGCAGTGAGCTATGTTCATGACACTGCACTCCAGCCTTGGCAACAGAGCGAGACCCTGTCTCCAAAAACAAACAAACAAACAACCAAAATCAGTGAGTAGGAGACTCATGGGGAAGTCCGGGAGAAGACCCCTTAGCTGGGGATGTGTTAGTCCTGGACCAGGCTGAGCCTGGCTAGTGTGTAATGGAAGCAGGAGCCACTGGAGGGGAGGAGGACCCAGGTGCAGGGCCAGGGTTAGAAGGGTGAGCCCAGGGAACCTGCACAGCCAGGGTTGGCGCAGTCTGTCCAGCACAGGAGATGGGGCATGGTGGGAGAGGGGATCACAGGCTTCAGGTAGGAAGGTTCTCAGCTGAGAAAGCCTGCATGGCCCCCTGCTGGGGAGAGCCCACCTCCAGAGGGCATGGGGAGCAGATTGCAGTTCATCCTCCATCACCCGCCCACGTGCCTGCCTCTAGGACATTGAGGGGCTGGAGTGGGCTGGGGTGTGTGGGAGACAGAAGCAGAGAAAGGCTCCTGATTCTCCCTGGAGCCTCCCACACTCACAGCCCCTCCCCAGGGAATGCCTCTGAGGCAAGGGGAGGAGGCGCTGCTTCCTGTGCAGCTCCTTGCTGTCTGCAGGCGTCTTCACGCGTGTGTGGGCACATATATGTGTGAACATTCGTGCGTACTGTGTGTTCGTCCACCTGCCTCTCCCCACACCCTTTCTCCTCCCCTCTTCTTCGCTCTCTCCTGCTCTTCCCCCCTTCCTGGTCCTCCTTGCCTTTCCCTTGCCCTGCTCAGACCCCAGAGGTGGCAGATCTTAGACCCAGAGAGAGCCCTGAGGTCCCTGTTTCTGCCTCCTTCATGGCTTGATTCCCCAGCTCAGCTGGGACAGGAGCACCCAGCCCACCAGGCTGGTCCAGTTGCCACACAGGCTCATGGCTGCGGCATCCAGGAAGGCCAGGACTCCTGCAAACCCACATCATTCCCACCACGATGCCCTCTGCAGGGGAGCCACACGAGGAGGCCTCCTCGGTGCAGGCGTCTGGAGAGGGTTCCCTCCCCCAGGCCTCCCGCAGTGCATGTCCATCTGCTCTGGGGAGGGGATTGGCTGATACCCCAATCTGTCTAGGGGACACCATCACCTGGGGCATCAGAGTTCTCATGCCCAGCTGGTGCTGTGCTTGGGGACTAGAAGGGCTGGTGCTGCATGGGGTCAGGAGGTTTACCTGATAAGGGAAACTGGTAAAGGATGCCCTCTTTCCCCAGTAGACTTGGGAGGTACCTCACTCCCAGGGTGCCTCTGTCACTCTGTCAGGGATGCTGCTGTGCAGGCTTCAGGCAGCAGGCTGTCATCAGGGCAGCCTCTGCCTCGGGCAGAGGCTGATAGGACCAAAGAAGTTTCTAGAGGACTTGTGGCTGGACCAAGCCTCTGTCCTGTCCCTGGAGGAACCCAGGCCTGGAGTGTTGTGGTCCCCAGGTGAGTGGAGACTGTGCCTGGGCTGAGCTTGGGTAGAGGAGGATAAGAACTAGGTGGGGCACAGTGGCTCACACCTGAATCCCAACACTTTGGGAGGCCGAGGAGGGCAGATCTTGAGGTCAGGAGTTCGAGACCAGTCTGCCCAACTTGGCAAAACCCCATCTCTAATAAAAACACAAAAAAATTAGCCACGCATGGTGGCGGGCCCTTGTAGTCCCAGCTACTTGGAAGGCTGAGGCAAGAGAATCACTTGAACCCAGGAGGCAGAGGTTGCAGCGAGCCAAGATCGTGCCACTGCACTCCAGCCTGGGCGACAGAGCGAGACTCTGTCTCAAAAAAAAAAAAAAAGAACTGGGTGGGCACAGGCTGCCGTCAGGGCCTGGCTCAGGCTTCCCTGCTGTGTGACCACTCATGTCACATGTTCTGTCTTGGCCCAGCAGCTTTCAGGGCAGGGACAGTGTCCCCGAGCTAGAGACAGGGAAGCAGAGGGATCTGCTGTCTGTGTCAGGCTCGCAAGCCTGGTGAGTGCCTCCCTGACCCAGAATGCTGCACAGGGGCGCAGGCACCGCTAGGTGGCCTCAGGTGGTCCGTTCATTTTACCATTTGTGCAACTAAAGGACTGTGGGTTGTGTATAATTTCTCACTGTTTTTAATGACCCTAGTTTGGGTGCATCTCTGAGCCTCCTGGCTTTGTTCAAGTGCTGCAGCTTTGAATGCCATCTTAGAAGCAGCTCTGCCTCTGCTCAGGTAGCAGCAGGGAGCTCCACACCCCATCCCCCGGCCCTGGCCCCCGACTCTGGCTGTGTTTCTGCAGGATGAGAAGGCACGCATTGAAGCATTGGGTGGCTTTGTGTCTCACATGGACTGCTGGAGAGTCAACGGGACCCTGGCCGTCTCCAGAGCCATTGGTGAGAGCCAAAGAGGCCGACCCAAGTGAGAGAAGGTCTCTCAGAAGCCCAGGCCTCTGGAGTGTGGCCTGCAGCTCACCAGGGGTTCAGGGAGGCAGTGCGGTGGGCCGAGGGGATTTGTCATGCACTGGGGTGATATCCTCCTAGTGTGAAGGGAACAGGGCAGATTCAGAGACTGCAGCACGAGTAATTGAGTGTAAGTTACACTGTATGTTATTATCTCACCTAAAACAGCTCCTACAAATCTCGTAGAAACCTGTGCCTCGCTACCCTGTGGGCTGGAAGTAAAGCTTCCAATATTCCAGAAATGAGGTTTATCCTCCTCCCGCATTCATGCTGACGATCCTTTTTTCTCTTTTGGGAAAAATGTGGGTTTGCTGGCCAGGGTGGCTCATGCCTGTAATTCCAGCACTTTGGGAGGCCGAAGTGGGTGGATTACCTGAGGTCAGGAGTTCGAAACTAGCCTGTCTAATATGATGAAACCCCATCTGTACTAAAAAATACATACATACAAAAAATTAGCCAGGCGTGGTAGTGAGCCCCTGTAATCCCAGCTACTCGGGAGGCTGAGGCAGGAGAATCGCTTGAACCCAGGAGGTGGAGGTTGCAGTGAGCTGAGATCACGCCACTGCACTCCAACCTGGGTAACAAGGAAAACTCCGTCTCAAAAAACAAAAATAATAAAAATTTTAAAAAGTAATGGATCTGGCTGGGCATGGTAGCTCACACCTGTAATCCCAGCACTTTGGGAGGCCAAGGCAGGCAGATCACCTGAGGTCTGAAGTTCGAGACCAGCCTGGCCAACATGGTGAAACCCCTTCTCTACAAAAAATACAAAATTAGCTGGGTGTGGTGGCACGCGCCTGTAATCCCAGTTACTTGGGAGGCTGAGGCAGGAAAAGCACTTGAACCTGGAGGCAGAGGTTACAGTGAGCCAAGATCGTGCCACTGTACTCCAGCCTGGGCAACAGAGCCAGACTATGTCTCAAAAGAAAAAAAAAACTAGCCAGGCGTAGTGGCTCATGCCGGTAATCCCAGCACTTTAGGGAGCCGAGACAGGCAGACCACCTGACGTCAGGAGTTCGAGACCAGCCTGACCGACATGGTGAAACCCCATCTCTACTAAAAATACAAAAAAAAATGAGCCAGGCATGGTGGTGCATGCCTGTAATCGCAGCTACTCGGGAGACTGAGGCAGGAGAATCACTTGAACCCAGGAGGCAGAGGTTGCAGTGAGCCAAGATTGTGCCACTGCACTCCAGCCTGGGTGACAAGAGCGAAACTCCATCTCAAAAAAAAAAAAAAAAAAAGTAGTGGGTCCAGTCTGCATCTCATTGTCTCAGCATGCAGTCACTGCCAGCTCTCAGGCTGTGCGCCCCGTGACCACACCTGCTCCTTCCTGGTACTTAAAAAATCTCTCCCTCCCCAGCTGATTGCCAGGGATTTGGCACCTATCCCTCTGACCCCTCTGAAACATTCTGTCCTTTTTGGCAGATGTGGCACCTTCTTGACAGCCCCTCTTCAGGCTGTGTCTCTCCTTGTGTCTCTGGACACTCCAGGAAGCGAGGCCAGGATGGGGAAGCTAGGGCAGAGAAAGGGGGAGCTCACAGGCCAAGGTCAGGGGGTTCCATTCCCAGGCAAGCAGGAAGCACTGGGCAGTTTGCATAAAGGAGCGATAGACCCCGTGAGAGCAGGTTAGTCTCTGTCCCCGCAGGACGTGAGGTCTGGGCCTGGGTGGGTGGGGAGGAAGCAGCGGACACTGTGGTCCTCTAACCCGGGCTCTTCTCTGCCTGTCCAGGGGATGTCTTCCAGAAGCCCTACGTGTCTGGGGAGGCCGATGCAGCTTCCCGGGCGCTAACAGGCTCCGAGGACTACCTGCTGCTCGCCTGCGATGGCTTCTTTGATGTCGTACCCCACCAGGAAGTTGTTGGCCTCGTCCAGAGCCACCTGATGAGGCACCAGGGCAGCGGGCTCCATGTTGCTGAGGAGCTGGTGTCTGCGGCCCGGGAGCGGGGGTCCCACGACAACATCACGGTCATGGTGGTTTTCCTCAGGGACCCCCAAGAGCTGCTGGAGGGCGGGAACCAGGGAGCAGGGGACCCCCAGGCAGGTGGGAGGAGCCAGGACTTGCCCTCCAGCCTTCCAGAAACTGAGACCCAGGCTCCACCAAGAAGCTAGGTGGTCCAGGCCCCTGCCCTCCCCTTCCTCCCACCCTGTCCTTCTCTCCCTCAGAGGCCTCAGGACCCAACAGGTGGCAGGCAGTGGACAGGGCGCCCGCCCCACAGTGCTTTCCCCAGCACTCCAGAGCCACTCGGGATGCCCCCCACAGCCCGTCCTGGTGGCTGTGGAACTGCACTGGGTGGCGGGCAGATGGTGGAAGGCAGCCTAGGAGACCACACCAAAGAGAAGATGGACCGGCTCTTACTCCCAGCTCCCATGGGGCCCGGGGTGGGACCAGAGGTCATAGGTGCCCAACGGCAGCCAAACCAAAGACACTGGTGTGCGTGGAGCAGCATGGTCATGCATGTGGGACCCTGGGGCGGTCCCAGGAGCCAAACTCTTGAAGCACCCCCTGGGTCAGGCCCAGCAGCGGGGTGGCCAGCCCCAGTTTCCCATTGCTCCTCTCTGCGGCCGGGGCCGGGTGGGTTCATATTTACAGATATGCCCAGCCAGTCCTGGTCGGCCACACCGGTGTCCCAAAGAGGAGAGCGCAGCAGGGCCAGGGTCTGTTCTGTAGCAGCCACCCCCCTGCCCCTGCTCCATGGCAGCCGTGATGTGCTTGGGCCCACCAGGGCCTTCCGGGCTGCTCTCTTCCCTGAGCTCAGAACCGGCGATGCACATGTGTCTTTTGTTGGTGTGTTTGTTTGTTTGTTTGTTTTCCAGGGAGGTCTAATTCAGAAGCAGTATTCAAGGTTTTCTCTTTATCAGTGCCAAGATGACCTGTTGTGTCATATAATTTAAGCAGAGCTTAGCATTTATTTTATTCTTTAGAAAACTTAATTATTTACTTTTTTAAAGCTATTTTTCAAGGAACGTTTTTTTGCAGTATTACTGAATTTATTTTCTAAATCAGGATTGAAACAGGAATTTTTCCAGGTGGTGTTAATAAGCCATTCAAGTGCCTTACACAGCTTTGAAGAAACTAGGACTGCAGTGGGCTCGGATAGGCCCACTGAGGTTTTTAGAAAAGCAGGATTTGTTTTGTTAGGGAGGCATGATTTTGGTGAGATATTTCTGGAAGAGTTTTCCGCCTCTTTGTGATGCTGAGCACCCCCAAGGTTCCCCCCAACCCCAGGTGACTGGCAGGAGCTGCGACTGCCGTGTGGTGGTGCCTGGGCCCGACAGCGGGGCTCTGGGCATCCCAGGTGACTTTGGCCCATCTGCCTGCATTCCCACCCCCTCGGGCCTGGCTGGATCCCGGGCAGAGGGACCTTGCTGCTGTGTGACTGGAACATTCCCAAATGTCTTGTGAATTTGTAATCAAATTGGTCTCATTGGGAAAGACGCTTAATTAAGAGACTCAGGCAAGCGCAGAGGCAGCCCGTGTGTCTCTGGCTTAGTCTGGAGGCAGTGGGGGTGCTGCTGGGAGTCCATGGCACAGGCCACAGCCCCTCACCTTGCCACGGTGGCTGGTAGCACGCCTGTCTTGCTCTGCCCCATGCCCTGAGCAGGCATGAGAGCTCCATGTCCCCTAGCGCACCCTGAGACGGGGCTCACAAGCGACGGTCCTGGGTGCCTCAGGGAGCTCACTGAGGGTGTGCGAAGTTGAAAGTGGCAAGGCTGTCAGGTAGAGGGAAGAGGTCAGGTGGCTAGGGGAGGACTCAGAGGCCTCCTGCAGGGCCAAGCACTGCAGAAAGGGCTGAGCTGGAGGTTGGCAGGGCTGCTCCAGGCAGGTCAGAGCAGGGCAGGGGGAGGAGAGGAGAAAGGGAGGAAGCTGGGCTGTGTGGTCTCCATAGAGGCATTCAGAGTCTACCTGCAGACAGCGGGAGCCCCAGGAAGGTCTGCACAACTGTACCCCAAGCGCCTCGGCCTCCTCTCAGCTTGCTGAGGAGGCACACTAGAGCCGCCTTCCTGAAGGGAGCACTCTGTCCCATAAGGAACGGGGAACTAGGCTTGCTGGGGCCCCACCTGCACACCCAGCCTTACCCTGCATTCTCATAGCACAGATGAGGTTGAGACCATGCAGTTGATGCATTGCTTAAGGTCTCTTACAAAAAAAAACACCTTAAACATAGTCACTGTCGTTCAGACATTCAGAGAATGGTTGGCCACCAACAATGACCAAATATTGCTTGGCTTAACTTGAAGGCCTGCTGTCTCCTTCTGGGGGTCAGCATCCAGAGTCCTGGTGCCCTCTCAGCACAGGCCCAGTCAGACACAGGGACGCAGCTCCACCCTCACCACCAGCCCACCCTGCCTGTGGGCATAACCTTGACGAAGGGAGAGAATGATTGGCATCTGCTTTTCTCTTTTCTTTGCTAATAATTATGTTCCTGGCTGCCAAGAGTAGAGTTTCACCCTGTGGAGGTTCGGCTCATATCACCTGGTGGTCTGATTCATACCTTAGCCTGAGGCTCCACCAGAAGATCTTGCAGCCTCAGTGTATGGGAAACCCTTTCCCCAGGCTTGTCCCAGTGCCACCGCTCCCCACCCCTGAGCCAGGACCCCAGAGGATGGCCATGCCCCATGCCTGGCAGAGGTCTGGTGCCAGCACTGGGAGCTGCTCTGTCCTTGCTTTGGGGCCGAGGGAGCCCTCATCCACCCCCGCACAGCAGCTGGACACAGAGGAGCGCTCTTCCATCTTGACCAGGACCGCACCGAGAGGCACCAGGTGTCTTCAGCCTCCAGCCTCCTGGGCGACCTTCTCTTCCAGCCACAGTCCCATGAGGGCCCCTAGCCAGGGACGCTTGTCTGTAAATTGTAATCCTTTCTCCAGCCCGGCTCTCCACTTGTTCCTTGTGTGAGCTGAGCAGGCAGTGCACCTCTGAGTGTCCCTTTTGTAAGGCCCCGGGGTTGCACTGAGTCTGCAGAGGCCGCGACCTCCTGGAACGCTGTGGGTGCAGGTGAGCCAGCATGTCCTAGGGAGATATTGCCAGCACACAGGGCCCTCCCGCCGCCAGCACCAGCGGGGTAGAGTGGTTCAGTGTTATTAGTGTCTATTATTAAAATTAAGTGGGCTGAAAAAGAATGGAGCTCCAGATACCAGCACTGTATATGAAATACAAAAGCTGGGGAAGTGGGGCCTGCCTTACAGGTGTGGCTGACTCTGAGCCCAGGCCTGCAGGGGTGGGGGCGGTCCCTCAGAATCCCAGAGGCAGCCCCAACCTCAGAACCCAGGATAGGAAATGGGTGTGTTTAGTGGGGAAAGGGACAGGGTGTGGGTGGCAGGGCCAGCATGCAGCCCCCTCCCTCTCCCCTCCTCTCCCGTGGTGAGCCCAGCATGGGCACTGGGCCACCTCAGCCGTGTTCCCGGGGCTAGGAGGACAGCTCTGGCCCTTCCTAGGCCTAGCCTCACCCCAAGCTAAATGTAACCCAGTTGGACTCTGTTAAAGGAAGCAGTGTTTTGGGTTCGATTCTGCCTCTGTAGCTCAAAGGGGGCGGCCCCCAGAGTCCTGTGCGTTCTGCCAAAAGCTATGCCAAGTCCATAGCTTTGCCAAATGCACGGAGCTCTGCCATTCCAGTGTGGTGCAGGCCTTGCCAAGGGTTTATCTGCATGCGTCTCGGTGGGCTTGTCCTGCATGGGAGTTGTGTTCCTGTGCAAGGGGGAGCCTTGCTCCAGGACAGGATGACTGTCTTCCCTGTTCTTAGGGACAAGTCCCAAGATGCCAGAAAGGCAGTCTCCCAAGGGCCCACCATGCAGAAGTGTCAATAAACCACGAGTTCTGAACTCTGTCGCCCGAGTCCTGCCTTCTTCCTGACTTCTGAGCATCTTGTCCCCTTTGATGTCCAGGATGTGTTTGGAAGCTGCTTTAATATTGGGGACCATCTGCAAGTCTTGTGAAGCAAGCAGACAAATTCTGGAGAGAGCCCTGGTGGCCTGCACCCCCCTAGTCTGGCCGGCAGCCTTATTTTCCTCCCTGAGGGGCTCTGAGCCCATCCCACCATCAGCAGGAAGGTGACAAACAGGAAAGGGATTAAGCCCCTGGACATCACATTGGGGAGCCACAGGAGCATTGAGGACCCTCATTTTATCCAGGAGCCTGATGTGCCCTAGGTGGTTCCATCCTGAGGATGGAGACCCTCTGACATGACGCTCTTGAGACCCACCATTTATACCCTCCTGGCACCTCCTGAGGCCAAGTGCAGTGGTGCACACCTGTAATCCCAGCACTTTGGGAGGCTGAGGTAGGAGGATCTCTTGAGCTCAGGAGTTTGAGACCAGCCTGGGCTACATAGGCAGTCCCCCATCTCTACAAATAATCAAAAAATTCTCTTGATTGAGAAAGGAACCAAATATCAAAAGGCAGTGAAGAATTGGGGACTCTGAGAAGGGCGACTTTCCAAGGCTTGGACCCCTTAGAAGCTTTGCAGCCTAGGGGCACTTGACCCCTGTGTGATAAGCCGAATCCTCTTTGTCTTAGGGGTGACTTGGTGGCTGGCTCATGGGCACAAGCCTGTAGTCCCAGCTACTTAGGAGACTGAGGCAGGAGGATTGCTTAAGTTTGAGGAGCTTGAGGCTGCAGTGAGCTAGGATTGCACCACTGCACTCCATCCTGGGTGACAGAGCGAGACCCTGTCTCAAAGAACAAAGCACTGAGCCTTTCTTCTGCCCGACCCCGCTCCCGCCACACCACTCCCCAATCCTCGAAGCCTGCGTGGCAGTTGTCCGACATGGGAGCTTGGCTGCTGCCCATAAGCAAGTCCACTGCAGGTTCACTGCTGGTGCTTCCCAAGGGTCAGGATTACAGGGGGTTCTTTTTTCCTCCCTGCTTTAGGTTTTCTTCTAAATCCTAATTTTTTTCTTTTTTTTTTTTTTTGAGACAGAGTCTCCCTCTGTCGTCCAGGCTGGAGTGCAGTGGCCGGATCTCAGCTCACTGCAAGCTCCGCCTCCCGGGTTCACGCCATTCTCCTGCCTCAGCCTCCCG